AAAAATCGATGATAATTGTGCCACATAAATTGTACATTTTTCTTTACAGGAAGTTGCTAGCTTCGTGAGTGACCTTCTCTTCAGCTTAGCAGGAGTTGTTTTTAATATCCTTAATAGCCTGGACACAGCACATGAAGAAGTACTGGAAAAGCTAAACGTGCTTGAGAGGAAGGTCGATGATATTTATGAAGCAATACGGAACCTGGGCATCATGACGAGATGGCAACACGAGATGGTAAGAGCCGTTCAGTTGTATGCTGAGTCCGAGACAAGGATCAAGGACATGCTCGACACGTTGCGAACTCGATTTCGCATTACAAGAAACGGAACACTGGAACCTATCCTGGCCAATGAAGACCTCGTTCAAGAGTGGGTGGACAATGTACTGACTCAGGGCGGCGGAGGCATGAACTCGGTACGTACGTAGGTGTTTAAATAGCATTTGAGTACATTCTTATCGATACAAGCAAATAGTTCAAACAACAACAACAACACATCGCTATTTTCGAAGTTGAATGTAAGAACAGAATGCTGGCTTGATATGTATGAAGTGATGTTGGCTTATTATGTGTATTGACAAATGTGTGTTGACAAATATCAAGCTATGGGAGAGAGTGAGTGAGTTAAGTGTTGACAAAGTAATTTTCATCACTTGTCGTTCCCTTTAGGCCTTGAACAACATGCATCGCATGGTGATGGGGACCGAGTCACTGTTTCATGGGAAGTCATACATTAAAATAATGGACGACCTACTGAAAAGCCAGAATCATCCGACTGCCATTGAACAGGTAGATTTGTTCCTTTTTAAAACCACTAAACTGAAGATATCTTTAGAGTGTAATGATTTATAGATATGTGAATTCAGGTAGGCTTTTTTGTGTGTGCTTCTGGGCAAAATTTATCCTTGTCACATCTATAAATGAAACCACTTGTAATCTGTTTACTTGAATAACAATCCGATTGGTAAGAAAGATTTAGGCTCCTAAGTAAAAAAAGTACCTGTTATTGCAGGTTCCTTGTATGCCATGCTTGTATGCCTTGTATACTTTAAGATATTCAAAGAAAAAAAGAAACACTACTCAATGCTTTTGGAAGTATGGAATAATCTTTTGGTTAACAATGTGATTCACAACACAATAAAGGAAATTCATGTAATAAAATTCGTTGTGATAATTTCAAAGGTGTACAACAAGGTACCTAAATGCCCATTATGTTCACAATTTTCCTCTAGGATTTCAAAATTCCAACAATAACTTACCAATCACTTTAATTTGTTCAGCTGAGGATTATCGCTGAATACATCATTGACCTCCAACTCTCCGCGTACGTCGCCTGGATCCTCGCTCTCAGGCATAATGGTGATATGGGCGGAGTTGAAGAAATCATGAAGAGAGGACACAACAAGCTGAGTCAACAAAATTGCTTCATGGCTCGTTACTTCTATGGTGAGTGAATTAGTTTGTTGCCAAACACTAACCAAATTTACTCCTGACAATATTTTCCCACACCATGTTCTGTTGGACACACATACTGAATAACCGCTGTAAGCTTGGAACAAGGTATTACGAAGCTAAAATGAAAATGAAATCAATTGACGGTATAGAAATTGAAGGTTTTTACATATATCTGATATCACGTATTCTTATCATTTAGACTGGCCGGCAGGCACGTATGGCTTTCCCATGGCAACTGGCGGGTGCCCGAATGGGTCATCTGTGACTTTTGAGGAGGGCCAGTACGGGATGAATGGAGTCAACGGTTTCCAATGGTCACAGGATGATCAACTGCATTTAAGCGGAGGTGTCTCCAGGAACACTGTGAAGCAGAGGGTCTGCATGAAGGTAATGCATTACAGTTATATTAACCATGAAGTTTTAACTTATAAGATATAAAATTACATATTTATGTTGAGTTCTTTTGTGAAGTCATGATACATGAATTTTCTTTTCTTCAATTTCTTTTGTTTTTATAGACGACTTACAGTGACAGCGAGGACAACGTTGACTGGCCAAAAGGAAGCTACTGCTTGTTTAAGTATAGGAGCTGTCCAGAAGGTTCGTACGTGTATATGCATATTGCCCCTTTGACCTACTCAACATCCCTGATACAATTTGTTTCCATGTTCGCCTTGATAGATTATTGATCAGAATCACAGGGATTTCGGGATCAAGTCAAGACCCTAGTATTTTTTACCCTCTTTTCAAAACTGATTGTCCAGGAATAATTGCAGATTTTAAGCTCAATATTTACTATTCTATGGATTTGGGCAAATCAATCATAAAATGCATGTTTTTACCTTCAGGATTCAGTTGGGGCCGGCTGGGATTTCCCGGAGGTACTAAGACTGGAGTTATTCCGGATGGAGACGTGGCCAGTGACAGCACAGAGATGGAGTACTGCTGCCGGAATGACGGGGTTGCGTCCTTGGCCATCCGCCTGCCTTCCAGATCCCCCTTCTACCTGCTGAGACATGGAGGAGAGTGCCAGCAGGTACAGAAAGATGTACTTATGATATCTGTCCGTAGAATTTGATGCAGAATTATTTCAAATGAGACAAAGGAAATAAGGCCGCGTCTTCTTATTCCATACTTGCTTAAAGACGTCCAGGGAATTAAAACTTGGTTGAGTTCAAACTTACACCTGTCTCTCTGGTAGTCAAATATATCTTCATTGTATTTCAAGGCCACATTGCAAGGCAAAGTCCTCTTTACTATTTGTTCTAGTGATATGGCTGGTAAAGAGTAATTGAATATCTTCTCAATCGTGTTCTTATTCTGATGTCACAATTCTCCACGGCGCCCGACTGGGCAGCTTTTGGGAAAATACGACATAAAAGACAACAAAACGCTTAATAACAATCATGGACACTATTTCTGTATATTCTCGATATGAATTGTTAATTTTTCGTTTATACAAACAGTCCGGCCGGCCATTTGGAAATGTGACATAAGCACTACATCATGTCTATCATAATAATCGTATGACCACCAAATTTTCAGAGGATGGTGTACTTGTAAAAGTTTATCATGAGTACAATTTTTATGCCGTTATGACGTAATATGACGTCATTATGTGATTTTATTGGCAAAAACCATCTAGATAGGTTATTCCCTGAAAAGTAAATGTTACACAACATAACTTTACCAAAAGCGTTTATGACAGAATATTACGGTGTACTAACTTCTTATGTTGGCCATAGCAACACCGGTGACGTCATAAGCTATCCGCCATCTTGGATCATCAATCTTGAATTTTCAAAAATATTTTTTTTCAGGATAAGCCTAAAATACATTGTAAACAGACTTAAGACGTTCATAATTATGAACCTTTTATGTAAAAAGTAATTGAAGTATTGATGACATTTTAAGAAAAATAACCTGTATATACCTGTTCTAATGATATGGTACACCATCCTGGATTTTGGCCAATGAAGTCATAAATTAGCATAAATTATGCATTTTAATGATAAAATTAACATCAAATTATATGACATGTTTTAATATTAGAAACCATGTGTGACATAAAACCCATAAAATTCTATTGTTGAAACGAAAATTACTAAATTCAGCAAAAAAATGTCTGTCAGAAACCCGTTGCCATGGCAACACAAAAATCATTATCTTATTCCAATGATACCAAATTGTTGTTAACAATATCTTAAGACAAGTCACCAAGTTTGGCCGTCCTAGCGCTAGCCGTTCAGACGCTATGTGACATCAAAGTTGGCGCGGGCACTTTTATTCCCCCTCCCGCCCTCCCGGTCTAGGTAGGGTTAAGCGACCTCTACTGTGTGTAATACTTTGTTTTTGCATACAAAGAGAGGTTTATGTTATTGAGGTTTATGTTTATTTCTCCTGTTTTTCTAGGTCGATGGAGCAACTGTTCGTGAGGAGTGGATTGAGTACACGGGTAACGGACACAGGGCTGGCATGACTCCTGACGATGATGGTGACGACAACAGCCACAAGATCTACTACTGCTTCTACAGCGCATCAGGGTCATCACCCAACATCCCAGCTACACCGATCATCTCAGCTGCTGTACCAGCGCACACAGCAAACGTAATCAGCTATGTTACGTGCGTCATCATCAGCCTTGTAACTGGGCTATGGGCCCTAATCTGAGAATCAGGCCATTGGTGATAATACTCATCATAACCATTCTAATGACCAAACCTTTTCTAGAAAGATCATCTATTTTAGTAAAGAATCTGTCATTTTATCCTACCTGTGACAATGCTGAATAGCCATTTTCACACAAAAAATCATTTCATTCTATAAGAAATGCCTGATATATATGACGTTTCCATATATTTGGGAAAACTACTTTGAATATCAAGTTGAGTATGAAAATACTTTTTACTTCTTGATTAAAAGCAGACACATCAATTTATCACTTCGATGCTGATAGAATCTTGATTTGAACCCTGATTTTCAAATTCATTTTGATCTTCTGATATGATCATATGAGGTAAAGACAAATTAGAATATGTGACACAAAACTGTGGGAAAATGGATACATACATGTTGAAATGGGGTCCACTGTATGGTAAATTGTTAGACTGATGTATTGTTTGCAAAATGTCTCTGGGTATTTATTTTTCTTGTATGTGAACATGTCCTTTGCCTTTATTCTTTGAAATTACAATAAAGATTATTTGGAGAAAAAAATGACAAACAAGACTGGCAATGAAAACATACATTGCCATGGCGACGGTGGTTGCTGTTAGGGTTATTGTTTGCATGGCACTGCCATCATTTCATGATTTTGAGGAAGACTTGGTACTTGGACTTTTTAAGTCTAGACAGATACAGTGCACTCCTCCCCTGAGTGCATAGTTAACGAGCCCCGGGGTCACAAAAAGTAGGGCCATCTGGGGCAGACAGGTCTTCAGGGTTCCAGGAATGTGGGCATGGATGTGGGTCAGAGAAATGCCTGTGGACATTCCGCATGCCTGTGGACAAAATGCCTGTACAATTCCTAGAATTCTTGCGAATTGCACACAATACTGTACCATTAGGCTCCTCCCCGAGACGTCGCCAAAAAGAATGAGCAGATGATATACAACGTGTTAAAAAACTACGAGGTATGTAAATATGTACAAATGGCATTCTATTGTTGGTTTGGAGAGTTACGTGCTGCATATTTTGAATTTGTTTTGCTAACTCTTACCTTAAAACTTAAATCTTTTTCGTACTAGGTTAATTGGTGACGGATTTTCTACATCCAAATGTTGCCGTGTAATGGTCATGGGGTGTTGTATAGATGTTTGATTGTTTGCCAGTTTGGAATAATTCCATTTAAAGAGTTCTATTCTTCTTTTAAACAGGTAGTACTACTGTATATTTTACTGTATAAAAGTCACAGTCACTATATTGTTTGGCTTGTGCTATGTATATTTTAATCTTTGTCAGTTTTGAACAAATATTGTTTGCAGAGTTATATTTTAAAGGATGCAGTACTGTATATATTTTGACTGAGGCTCTGTTTTACTGTGTGATAGACACTATATTGTTTGGAGTGTGCTATAGATATTTTAAGGTTTATCAGTAACACAATGTCATATCCAGGATTTTTAGATGTTTGTCAGTTTTGAAACAAAAATCATTTGCAGAGGTCTATTGTTCCTTTACAGACCGTGATACTGTATGTTTTACTATGTGATAGTCAGTATATTAGTCAGTATATTATTTGGAGTATTCCTTAAATGTTTGAAGGTCTATCAATGACATAATACCAGATTTCAGAAAAAAGTAATCAAACCCAGGCAACGTCTAGACCCATTCATGTTATATCATTCTATACAGAATTTTAGTCTTGTATGGCAAAAATTTTTTTTCAAGAAAACTGTACAGGATTTTATAGTGTTCCAAACTTTTCAGACATTTAGGTGTTTTATGCAAAATGTTAGGGGGGGGGGGGGGTATGTCGAATGCTTAGATATGGACACGATTAGACCACTGATGAAAAAGCTAACTCAAACTAAATCTGTTACAATCAGTGATGAGCAACTGGGGGGCGATCTTTGCAAGAATATTGTATTCAGTTCTTTTGATACCGGTAATAACATGTACATAACCGTGCATACCTGTATATATCCAAGATTTGGTCGTGAAATAAACCATGTAGTGAAGTCTATGTTTGAATTTTTTGTCTTCATTGAAATCAATATACAATAATTTGTAATATACTTATAATATAGTTCGGCAGTGATCGGGAGGCCACACTCGGCTATGTGTGACAGGACCTAGAACAGTTAACTTGGATAGTTTGTAAAATACACCCTTCCATGTGTACTAACTAGTATTTATGCAACACACACACACATACATTCTGAACGTTGACGCATTTGTTATCAGATGAATATCCAATTTATCATATATATGTACATTAGTAGATTACTGCATTGTTTTTGATTCAGATCTATGCCATTGACTAATAAAACCTGTGAGCTTTAACATGTATTAAACAGGGAAAATCATTTATGCAACTGAAACTTTAAAATGGCTCTGTGCTTTCTTTAATGTGTTATCCGAGGCTACATATAATGTATTATTACAAACAGCAGGTCCAACAATACATCTATTCGGGTGGTAGCATTGTTATAACGACGTACGTGACAGACTTTGCCGAAGTGGTAATGTTCACTCAGAAATTCATTTCTGAGTAACATTTAGTTCCATTGTGTAATTTTAATTTGTTTGTAGTAGTATGCATAAAAATAAAATAAATCTAGATTACCCATATTAATGACCAAAGAAACACAAGAAGACAATAGTACATTTTCAACTTATCAAAGTTAATTTGAGTATGAAACTTCCTATATTCAAATTCCTATTCAAAATAACACTGCATTTCCCTATTGCATTTTATCATGTATATTTTATCTATTTGCATGTGAGTATTTCCTTCTTGCATAGTGATTCTTATAATCTTACTTTATAATTGCTATTTGCAAGTATTTTTTTTCAAGAAACGTGTACTAGAGTAAGTTGCATATCTATATATCTGCACGTACGTGCAACATCTAAAAGAATACAAACTTGTAAACGAAACTAGACTTACTGAATTCTGCATAAGAAACATTTTGTTGCTAGCCGTACTTTGCTACGGTGTACAAAAATGTTATATTTCAGCCTCTACCAGGCTACGGAAGCGGCTGGAAAGATTAGAAATTGGCAAACATGCCAGGGGAGTTGGTCTTCAAAAGGGTGCGGCAAATGTACTCCTTAGCAGACGAACTACCCTGACTATTTGGTCAATTTTTAACTCGTTCTGGCTGCTTCTGAACACTGCTAGAGGCTTACACTGGTCCACACAACCGGACATTGCACTAGAGTGATTAAATGGACGATTCCATCTGAAACCTTTTCTAAGGGGCCGGCGGTTCTCGACTGTTTGACAGTTCGACGGTGCGCATGTGTCAGAGGTCAGAGTTTGTTTGTACTGGGGTTAAATAGGGAAACGTATCATCACATGATAAAGAAAGGGAAAATGAGGTAGATTTAAGCACCCCCCCCCCCGCTTTACTGGCGTTCCAGATGGAATAGTCCAATGAAAGAGTCAAGCCTCAGCTAGCATGTCGGCAGAACGTAATGCACCTGCGCGAAACCAGTGAAGTAGTGTATAATATATTGGGCAGAACCTTTGTTTAATTAAGGATAACATCCCATCTATAGTTTCCAAGCGTTGCAGTACGTTCGGCCGACATACTACCTCAGCTATTACACAACCTACGCATCAAAGCGAAGTATTCGCGCGAGCACTAAACGAACGAGACTGACAAAAAGCACTGTCGGTTCCAAACGCCCGTGTACGAATACCGGAATACAAATATCGTTGGCACAAATGTATTGAGAAAGTGGGCAAGACGAATTAACGCAGCGACCCATGTGACACGCTATCATGCAGGCAACACTGATGCATCTTTGACAGAAGCTTGCTCGGCAGATCGTAGCGTGAAACAGTGGGCCGGCGTTCTCTTTGCAGAGTCGGCACATCTTTCTGTGAGTGCCGAACTTCGACCTCCACTTCTTGAAGTGTAGGAGGACGCAAACGGGAACCATGTCCTGGAGAAAAATAAGAAGATTTCATTTGCTTTATGTACTTACTTATTATAAAAGGAATCGTGTTTTGGTTGTGTTACTGCGAAAATAAAGCGCCTGTTACACATAGCCGAATATGTAACTGTACAGATATGTATTAAATATTTGACGTGACCCCATTTATAGCAGCACCACCAGTCAGATTTGCTCTGAGGAAGGTGAGGCGGCCACCGAAACGTCGGCTGAATAAAACCATTGGTTGTGTAAGAAGAATCTCTTCGTTCACTGAACTCAGGAGCTTGATGAAACTATTCACAGAGATTTGTAAGTTCCAGTCTGAGTTCTAGTATGAATTATTACATACCTCATGCTGCAAGTCACGTGGCTCTCTGTCTTGTGGCTCTCCTGTCGTGGGCGGGATCTGTGTATGTAGAATCCATAGAAAGTCATGATAACGTGCATATACGTGTATAGGCTGCCTTACTCTTCTTTTTTTTTTAATTTTTAAGTTATCTTTTGTTTCTGGTTTGAATTTGCTGTGTTGGAGTAACGATGAACTATTACCAAAGCTAACTATCGAGACGCTAACAACGAAACATTCAGCGGCATGTATAGATGACTTTTATTACGCAACAATGTACAAGGTACAAAGTATGGCAGAAATGAGAGAACAAATCTAACAAATCAGTCTACGTAGTACAATACTAGGTGATATGGGATGGAAAGGCGCTTATACAATCATAACAAACAAATACCACAACTTTAGGGTCTACCCCTGGAGTCACGAATAGCTTAACAAATATTAAACAATTACAGCCCCACTTAGCCTGCCTATAGCTTAACCTTTCGGTCAGAGAGGTCAGTTTACTTAACGAGGTATAGGCCAGGGTCAACAGAGTCCATTCTTATCCAAGTTGTACAGGCGTGTACTTACAGCTGCTGTGGGTGAAAAACCCTGCAGGAAGAAGTTACGGATGTCTTGTAGAGCTCTCTTTGTCTGCACCTCTGGGCCGTCCAGTGCCGGGGCCAGGAGAGTCTGTATGAGAAAAAAATGAATGAATAAATGAATAATGTTCCGTAATTAAAAGACTTTTACATTGTAATTGCACTTTTAACAATATCACACTTTCACCTCCGAAACTCATTTACTCCTTTAGCGGACTAACTCCCATGTATGATATCTGTTCTATCTGCAAATTTCTACTCTTTAATTTTTTCCATCTTATAGGTTCTGAAGTCTTGGATATTGCGCAACACTACCAACTCAAGTGACGAACGGACGTGGCGTTTACCTTGAGGCACGCCCTGCTTCTCGTGACGTCCACCCGTCCATCGCCGTCAACAGGTGCGACGATCACCTTCAGATGTCCGTCCATGCTGTTGAACGGAAGCGTCGTTATCACTGTCACGTTCTCTCCAGAATCCATGTCCCTACTGAAGTAGAAAAAAAAAGGAAAATTGTATCCTATTCGAGCGCAAAAATGACACCATCAAATCACATCGTTTCATCGACATTTTGCGTATAGAATGACAAAAAAAAGGTTAGCAAAACATCTGATGCGATATAAATGTGCCTCCAGCAGAAGCATTGCGTCACATTTCAACCAAAAACAATATGGCGCCCGCATGACGTTAAATCCAACATGGCCGCCCCTGTAAACATACCCGCAAAACAATAGTATATACTGCCTTTGCAATCTGCTTTGTTTATCTAATGTTGAATATAAGGCTGTATTGAAAGTTTCGAAGAGAGTTGGATAACAAAATCCTTAGCAATGATACACAGTCAAGTGTTTATACCTAGGCCTGACAAACGTTTCAGTAACCGTCTGTCACCTTCCTTAGCCACAGCAAGTAAATTCTATGGATGACATTCTCCACAGACTCCAAATCTAATGCGAGCGGGCGAAAGGAAAAACAAGGCGGGTCGATAAAAAACAAGGTCCCTACATTTTGAAATTTTGACTCATTGTACAAATGGTTTTGATTTAGAGGGAACATCACATATACACAGCCAACATCACATATCACTGCATCAAAGTAAGAAACAAAACATGAAATCAGAGCCTTTTCTTGTTTCCTCTCTTTATAGTTATCTGTAATCCATCTTCCGGCATGGCAACAGACAAATGTCTTGTTTTTTTTCCAAAATCAGGGAAAATTAATGCGCGTGCTGGTGTCATCCATAAATATTATCTGCTGCGGCCTTAGCGGAAATGCTGACCGGTCCTACTTCCCACTGCAGCTAGATGTCGCTGCTGCAATGCGAGAATGCGGACTGTTACTTATATACGTTATGTGAAATGTACATGTATGCAAAATACTTACTAGGGCTGCATGGGCACCAATACGTCATCTGGAAGGGAGTCCTCTTGAACAGAATTGTCGGGCACGAACATTTTGACCATCGTTTCCATGATTTTCAACCTCGTGTCTTCGCTGAAGCTGTAACGTCGGTACGATGTCGGTGATTATGTTTGTCATTATTCGTTATGATACATCTATAAATTAAGTTGTAAACAAAAACGGAGAACTATGAATTTAAGGTTCATCTGTGTTGTTGAACAAAGTATCGAAAGTGAACATTGGAATGAAATTCCTTTGCCCCCACTCCGAAGCCGCTTTTATGTATAGCATATAAAAGCAATTTGCCTAAATTTGTTTTTAGGAGGACAAGCCGAAATAGTATCCTTATATCTGTATCGTCTAAGATCGCGGCAGTAGGCAAATTGGGCGTGCTGCTACAAACACAAACACACCCACACACAAACACACACTGGCACACAAATACACATAAAACACACACACAAACACACACACACACACACACACACACACACACACACACACACACACACACACACACACACACACACACACACACACAAATACACTCTACTCTTTCCAGCCGCTTCCCGAAGCCTAGTAGAGGCTAGGACGCCCCGAAAATGTAACATTTTTGGCTAAGGTAGTTACAGCACTTACGGCATTGAACCCTGTTCATCGCTAGCCCGGATGAACAGGTCATACACATGTATCCACATGCCGCCTTCGCGCACGGAGAACTCCTGCTGTTGGTCTGCCGGCGGGCGTCGGTTTACGGGCAGGTTCAAGGCTGTTTGGTAGTTGTTCCTGGGGATGTGGACGTTTCTTGGTTTGTCTGGATACTCAGCAATCATCCAGGCATCGGTGCAAGGCGTACGTTGGTCCTGTTAAAAAGAAATACCGTCATGATTGAAATCATACACATCAATAAAAGTATGTGAAAAGTAAAAAGGTAACATTGGCAAAGCACCTGCAAAATGTTTGCATTCAGATGGTCTAGCCTAAAACTACTGCCCTGTTTATTCTTAGTAAATGCATTCATATACATAATGAATAGCGCCTCAAACTTTGTCCTACAACTTGTATGTAACAGAACACCATGAGGCGTATGCCAAAAGCACCAGTTCCTATGGTTACAGGCGTCTTGTTCAAGTCATTGACCTGATGCATTTAGAGAAGAAGAGGAAGAAACAGAGCAACCCCCCTAAGTTTTCTTTTTGCGAAAGTAAAGATACATACAACAACAATCAAAATTTAACATCAAAACATAACCTTAACTTTAAACACCCAGGAAAACAGAAAAGTTCCACACCAATTGTACCAAAGAATGTAAAAAGTACCTCTTCCGTGTTGGACATGTGTGTCCCTTTCTCTTTTTCGTACACAACACTACAAGGGATCAGGGGAACAAAACATTTATAAACTAGTATATTACCCTGATGAATTGTCGGACACTGTATAAAATTCACCGTTATGTGTTATCATGACGGTTTACTGAACGAACCCTTAAATGTGCCAAAGCCCGTTCTTTGTATACCGGCGAAAGTGATTCGAAAGAGAAAGAAGAATATGCTGCATATTGTTGACCTAATGCTTGCCATTTACTGGTTGTATGTCATCATATTCAGTGCATTAAATGCAGTCCATGTTTACGAGTGTTGCATTGTAATACGTCGTTCTTATTTTCATGGTTTTCCTTGAGTTTGTGAGGTTTTTGCGACGGTACAAAAGAGAAACACTGTTTGCGTGTAGTGCCCACCCGAAAGGTCCATAGGTAAATTGACTATGAAAGTGAAAATAGTGAGTGATATATACTCACATAAATTGACTTCGTAATCATAGATCTTTAACCGTACACAGCCGTTGTGTGGATAGAATCAAGGTTAAAACTAAATATGCCTAAATTGTTCAGATACTCAGGTTCTAAACGTAAAATTGCCACCGTGGTAAATGGTTCGTTTAGAATATGTGGCGCAGCAGTTTTTTTAAATGAGTCAGGGGAATCCCCTTGGTCATGCAGCTACGTATACGTATATGCATGCTGCATGGTCGCAAAACAGCGCAGTGTAAGATTGATACGCCACAAAAACCAGGTCTTTTGAATAAGAAGTAAACAATCGTTTGTAAAACATTAGCAATCACTCCGAAGAAAGGTCTTGTTCAAAAAGCTTGCAGAAGTGACTTTAATGTGCCCGTGGACCTCGGTCATTGACCTAGGAACGAAATTGTAGTAAATCCCCGGCCGGAGGTAGCCAATAGCAGACTTCTTAGGCGGCTGGAATTAGTAAAATTGGCCAAATAAACCGATAGCTTGCCATGAGAGTTAGTCCACTAAACGAGCAAATTTTGATGAACTGTAGTCCTTTAGCGGACCCTGGCATGCAGTGTCTATTTGGGCAATTTCTGCTCTTTCCACCTGCCTCTAAATCTTGGTAGAGCTAAGAAGGTGTCCCTGTTTGATCTTTTTTCCGACCCCAAAATACCCAACCAATTGTACCGACGAGCGAAAACAACATCTATTTCGTGTTCGACATGTGCACCGATACCCCTTCTTTCTATACAGCGAGGGTCAACAGTATCATTATAGTAAATCTGGCTATATACTTCGAATTTTATTTAAAATGTATACATGTAGCATAGGCCCATACCAACATAACAGGGTGGTTTAAAACACGTATAAACCGATGTTGATAAATTATCGATAATATGTAATTCCGTTAAATGTGCTATAAAGGTCTATAATGGGTAAAATTTGTGGCTAGTTTATGAAAGTGAAAGTAGAATGCGCTACATGTTGTTGAACTATTGATTACAATTCACCGGGCGCTCGATAATCATATTTAGGGTAATCCCAAGTCCTTATGATCCATACATACTTTAAGGGTGTTGGATTGTAATTCATCGTTGATATTTTCCCTGAATTTGTGAGACTTTTGCGACATTACAGCACAAAGGAGGGACGTTCACCTGTTAGTGTTTGTTTACGCACCTGGGAAAGGTCTAAATGACTATAAAATTCAAACTGAAAACAGTGAATGTTATACTCACTTGAGTCGACATCGCAGATGTTTAACTATACTCTGGCGTTGTGAAGTGGAAATCAAGGCCTAAATTGCGCAGATACGGGGTAAAACTGGGCCTGAGGGCGTGAACTTGACGCCGTGGCTAAAATGTATGGCGCAGCACTGTTGTGTGAGTGAGGGGAATTACCTTCGTCATATAGAACTTCGTCACTTCGCGCAGTACGAGATTAATACGCCCCAAAATAGTTCTCTGAACAAGAAATAAATAATCGCTTATAGAACGTTAGCAAAGATAACTTTTTAGAAATAAAAGTTGCAACAATATAGATGAAATGGCTTCTCCCGGAAGTGTGTTGAAGTGATCCTATTGTGCTGTTGACCTGAGGTTGACCCCCGTGACCGAAACGGTGGGGAATCCCCGGGTGGAAGGTTTTGCTGTGTGATGGGTTTAACCGAGGTTTTATATAGAAGCCGAGGCATGGGACTTTCCGCCCGTTTCTGTATGTGACACAACAAAATTTCTCTAGGCGGGGAAGGTAACGTTCACCATCCTCACACAACTGTGCTCCCGCCCGCCGCATAACGATCTGAGCTTGTTCAGGTAACGTAACAGGTGTTACTGTTTTACTTTTATAGAGCATTTGCATTAGACATTATTTCCAATCTGGGATGATATATTTTGAATTATTCAATGTAGCATCGCTAAACTGAGGTAAAAGAAGATCGTAAACCTGCTTGTGTGACAGTATGATCACGGTCTGGTGTCTGGTGGCAGTAGTAGTGGAGGTGGTAATGCACATGTATGTGTGTAAGCGTGTGTGTTTATGTGTGTGTGTGTGTGTGTGTGTGTGTGTGTGTGTGTGTGTGTGTGTGTGTGTGTGTGTGTGTGTGTGTGTGTGTGTGTGTGTGTGTGTGTGTGTATGTCTGTGTGATTGTGTGTGTGTATGTGTGTTTGAGCTGAGTGATTTCGCGTGAAATGCTTTAGTAGAAATGTCTGTAATGATTAATTGCTTAGTAATAAAAATGGCTGAGTGACGCATCACGCATAACCAGCTAAACTACAGATGAGTCATAGGGAACACAATAGTACTGTCAAACTGCATTATACTATGAACAATGGGACTGAGACTTGCACAATTTCTCATGTACACTTTCCTATGGGTAGATCTTTATTGGTGTGTCTTACTCCATCACGGATAAGTGTAGATATGTAAGTATTGTACATTTGGGAATACATCTGTAGCAGCGACACCTATTTTTCAATGCAATGTGAACCAGCCAGAATTGCCCTAAGAAGGTGACAGACGGTCACCCAAACGTCGGCTGAAAAAAAGTCTTGGTTGTGTAAAAAAATTCTCTTTACTCAATCTTGAAATACTGTTTTACACCTGCACTGGTGTATGTGACGTTGAGAATTACCTGCACCAAAAAAGTTTTACCGGCACTAATCAGAATTTAGTATAGATTATGCTAAAACTGTTCATAAACCATGATAATTATGTCTTTTATACTTCGTAGTTCACACAGACAATGCAGCAAATCAAAATCCACATTGTTTACTCTTACATGTACATAATAAACCAAGTACATAGACTGGTTCATGTTAGGTATATATAGGTAAATTCAGAAATACACAGTTCCAATTTGACCTACACGAACCTACATATGCGACTGCATTTCGAGCCCTAATTATATTTGCTAATAATACTTCCTGGTTCGTGTTGTTGCATTGGATCCTTTGCCAGCCTGAGCCTAAAAAACAGTGAGATTGTACAGCGTATACAGTGTTTAATCGGAAAGAGGGAGGGGGTCAGTTTGAGGCCATTAGGCCATATTGATTTGATTATATGGATGACATCCTCTGGGAACACCAAATCTGATGCGAGCGTGTGAATAAAAAAAGTTTTGCAAAAAATAAGTTCCTTTCATTATGAAATCTACGTGGTTTTGAAGGTTGAACAAATGACACAGGATATGATGTGGCGAATAATCTACTCTTCAAATTCATTTCTTTTCCATTTCGTGTTTTTTGTTTGATTTTGGCATTCTACGACATTGGTATCGTGTTCCATTATATATTTTTGCAACTAAACGGTATATATTTGCTCATTTGTAACAGTTTTGTACGACTTACAGTATGGTTGAAAACTTTTCTTTGGAAAAGGCCGAAAATTCATCCATATAATCAAATCAACACGACCTTAGGTTATCAACCATGGATTATGGGGACACTGTCGTCAGGGAAATATGCCTAACGTCAATGGATTTTACCATTTGTTCTGTCTATATGTACTGACAAAAGGCGTCTGTTTAAAGCTGTCACCTTGCGTTTTTCAGGCCTCTATGTGCAGCAGATCATCATCATCAACTAGACGCAATACACAATGACTGGCTCCAGGTTCAGCAGAGAGTATCCTAATGTCTCACGCATCATCGGCAAAAATGAAAATTTAAAATATGCCAAACCCGGTTTCAAAAGGTCCTCTGAGCAATCATTTTATATCTTTCCAAACCAATTGTGCACGGTCCGTCTGAGTGGGAACATGGGCCAAAATGGTCCGTTGAAACTGCTAGAAAGTCTATATCTGTTTACTATCACAAAAATCAATGCTTGCAAAAAGGCAGTGTACAACATCCGTTTTCCTGAAACAGAGCTAGTGCAACATGTGAAGGAACATGCTGTTGTCGACTTCTTCGAAAGAAAAAGGAAGGATTCAGGCATACTTGTAAAGCAGTGCAACAGTAGCAAAGCTCTTACATCCGGTTCAAATGCTTCGCCCAGTTTTCTGTTTGGAAAGAGGAGGGAAACATTTGACGTCTACCTTCGGTTTCTATTTGGAATAGTAGTTCCCAAACCCTTGTCTGCTTTTGAAACTCCACCAAACTATCGTGACACAAAATACCAAGTAGTAGAACCATACATCGTCTCCCAAGTTCTGGAACGAATCTTTGAGCTTGTTTTGACTTTTGAAGACCCGGTACAAACGTCCATCCATTATAAAATCGCTACCCTTATTCTGATAGCATGGAACAATCGCTGCATTCCGAAAGAAGGTGTTAGACTGGAATATTTCCTTTCGTTTTTCATCCGAAGTCTTGGCATATATGTTAACGCTTGCATCAAAGAGGCAAAAGAAAACAGTCAGGTTGACTCCAAACCAATAGATGTAGAAACAGACAAGCCCGTTGACCAAGAGCAAGTTCAAGCTGGAGCTCGAGTTCCCGCTATGACAAAAGCCGGTCTGAAGGAACACATGGCGTCACTAAGGCAGATGTGGTGCCAGGAGTTCTCTGCCGGTAAGACTTAAGATTAGGGATTAATCTTTAAGCAGTTATTACGGTGTCATCAACCAGCGTAGCATCTACTTCGAGGTCTGAGCTTTTATCCAAATAAATTTAAAGCATGTCCACACCCAATCATACAAATATTGTATTCATTTTCGAGCTTCTTAGAAAATTTATTTGGATTCGATATCTGTGTGCACAAAGATACTTAAACCTTATTCCAAGATTATAATCATTGTAAAATTAATATCTCTTACCCATTGTATCGACGCTATCAATATTTACAGTGCAATCGTCATTAACTGTATGTATTAGTGCAACACGGATTTTCAATAGTTTAAGATAACATTACAGCGTCCCATGGGACTCTATTTATTTATTTATAAGACGGCTGGGTAGCCCCATTCAGCTTGCATTCCAAGGGGGACCAGCAAAATTACAAGTCAAGACATTGTTACATACAGAAAAACAAGAGTGGACAACATACAGTAAACATAAAAGTCCGATGCGTCAAAACATAAAAGTCATATACTCAAAGTCCTAGCCAGTCAAAGGTCAAAGCACGAAAATTAGGAGTGGAGGTCACTATTAAGTAATGTGGCGGTCACATACATCGTTGGATCGTAAAATGAATGTATTCTTGGGACAATCTTGTTTCTGAAAGGCTGTCTTAGTTCCTCGTCGGTGGTTGGGTCTCACAGAGCATCTTCTGCCATGCTGGAAAATCCTGACTTCAAATTACAATGTGGTACGTACGACGACTTGTGAATGGGATGGCAGCCTCAGTTAAAGCATTGGCGCTGTGTTTGTATTTCCAGGTTTAGCCGAGGACTTGCTGTGCGAAGATCGGCAGCGAGCTCTCCGCCGTTTCGGTAGAGAAAAGGGCCTGAAACAGTACGAGATAGACAACATCCTGAACGCCAGCAGCGCCAGTCTCAAGGAGAAGGGGCTCGCACTGATGGACGCCTGGCAGCACGGGCGGTGTGGCTCCATCGTGCGGAGTGGGAAGGAACTGCAGCAGGAACATTTTGAGGAGACGCTGAAAGCTTTGAGCAGACGTGGTAGAAACTCACACAAAGATAGGGAGTCTAAGGCCCCCTCTCCACCAGACGGCGGTCTCTGAGCAGAATGTTCAGGAAGCAAAATTTGATTTGTGCAACCCTTAATTTCATATCATAATTAGAATATGATGCAATTTGTAAAAGGAAATAATTGTTGAGGCACTGAAAGCTCTTGCCAAAAATAGTTAAACACGGAACACGAAGATATAGAAACTAAGGCTACCTTTCCACCATACAGTGATCTACGAGCGACCGTACACCAAGCAAGATTTGATGTAGAATACTTGAACCTTGATTTTATATTATAGGTAATGTTTTTATTGATATCTTTTGTGGATCTATGAACTTGCTGAGATCATATTTGTACTTTTCATGATCTATATTAATACATATGGACTTGCTAGCTGATGAGGTTCTATTTCATAAGAATGTACTTTTGTGGATCTATGGACTTGCTGAAATCCTATGTGTACATTTGTAAACCTATGAACTTTGTGAACCTATAGATTGCATCTATTTACTTAGTAGTACTTTTGTGGATCTATATGGACTTCTCTGAGATCCTAAGGACGGTCTCTTGGATTGGTGGTTCGTACCTCTTTGGTTTGTTACCTTCTGTATCCTTTAGTAGTATATGAAGTAGTATATTGGGCATCTGGATCCTTTTTCTCCTGAGGTGTCTTTTTTGAGATACTGTATTGAGTATCTGTATCCTTTTTTCCCCTGAGTTTTCTTGATTGAGGTAGAATATTTCAATTGCATAGGTTTATTTGTACATTGGCACGGACTAATTTTGAACGTGTAAGCTTCTTGTGCACTGCAACGATAGTCTGTACTTTATCCAGTGAGTCCTCTTTTCGTGAATGACACCAGACAGAATGTGGAAACGTGCGTATAGGAAACAAGTCATTGTTTTATTCTAGTTGGTTCTTATCTACACAAAATGTTAGTTGACGTTTAATGACATTGATGGTCAAGGACAGTAAAATATGATTTGCACTAATGAAATTTATCAGCAATGTTGAGCGTACTAAAAAGACTAGGATCCGAATAGGTACCTAGCAGGGGCATATGCATGTTTTGTGTCTACAGATGTTAGGTATAAATGAATAAAGCAATTATGAGTCAATAAACTATAAAGAAAATCGTATATTTCGTGATTTGTTTTTAGAGTTCGCTTATGGCGTCCCTAGAAAACGAAGAACCTGCAGAAATATACATCCATATTTACGAGTGCTGCTAGCATTATGTATCCAGGCTGTACTGGTTTTTGGTCGAAAAGAACATCAAGCTTGCAAGGTGTACAGTTGGTTGGAAAGAGATTTTATTATTCATCCAAGAGTTCCCATGGTTCTCAGCGTCACATCGATGCTGACAGCTTCACAACCGCACGACCTTTGACCTTTCCAGCCTTCAGGTCCTGCATGACGTCAAAGACTTTCTCCAGGGGATGATGGGAAATCGGCGGTGGCTTCACCTGAGGAAAGAAGTTAGGTCTCAAATATTGTCCTTAAGAATAAATTTACAATGAAAAACACGATCTAAACCATTGTTGTGTCTTAACCATACACGGTACATGTATTCATAATTTGTTTAGACAAACCGTTGATCATAAAAAATACCTGTTCTTACATTTACATCATTACAAAGAAACAGGAAGTAGTCTATTTCACTAACTTGACTACATTACTCTTGCTAGATTGACGATGTATACCGGTATCTGTAAAGTATTTTGTTGTGATCTTTACGTAACCTACTGTGTATATAAGTATAATAAAGCTCTTATTTCAAATTATGATTTATGTAGGAATCGATGTAATATAAGTAACGTTTCAACCAGAAAATATGCGGTGTTCTCGTGATGTCAAATCCAACATGGCAAACCTCTATACACGCCAGCAAAAAGAAAATAGATTTTTCTATCGCAAACCTATAATAATGAGTACGTACCTTCCCCTTCGCCATGAGGGCCATGAGGTCCTTGAGCTGCGGCAGAGATCCCATGAGCACCCCGGCCATCTGGTGACGACTCAGCACGTACGGCATCAGAGGGACGGAGCCAGAGGCACCGACTCCCAGCAAACCCACCACAACATGCATGCCGCCCTGAGGACAGGAAAACAATAATGTATTACACTGATACGAACTTCCCAACTATATTTTATGAAAGGTCACCAAGTTTAGTGGTTCTAGCGTAAGCCATTCCTACGCTATACGACATCAAAGTTCGCGCAGGATTTTTTAGCCCCCCCCCCCAGTCTAAATAGAGTTTACGCGAAACAAGTAGAAATGACAGGATTTTAAGGAGTATTGCAGGATCTTTTATGTAACCCTGGTTAACTATTAATATAATAAAATACCTATTGGCTTCCTAGTGTCCGCCAGAGTCCTTTGCTGGCGGAATAATGAAATAGAAGAAGTCGACCTAAATTGGGATACAATTGGCCAGGGGAGTGGCTTGCCATAGAAGGTCCAATTCGCCTACACGGAAGTGCCGGCCTGTTATATCCCCTTTAGGTCAATTTTTCCTATTTATTGCAGCCTGCAAAGGAGTCTGGTGGAGAATATTGGCTGTGTTAACCTTTCACTCCTCCCCCATCATTCTGTCTGTCAATCTACAACCAACGCTCAACCAACATTGTAAGGACAGAAAGATGCAAACCCACAGCTCATCAGCCACGCCATACTTCGGTTCCAAAGTGAAAAAAATGTTTATTGGTATGAGACGATAGATTACGAGTATATAGGTATATGGTAAACATTTGTCGATGTATGCAAAAGAGAAAACAAACCCGTTGTGATAGAAGCTGATATATCTTTATCTTATTCATCAAAAATTCTTTCATGACGCCCTAGTACAAGAAATCGAATTGAAAACAAAGTTGATGTTTAGTCCAGTTTGTACACAGCACTGGCATTTTAATGGAGGTAAACCAAGCACTAAATTATTATTATACTTGTACCGACCTGAGCTAAAATCTTCTCTACACGTCCGAATGTAGCAGGCACGTTGACGAAGTCGATGGCGGCCACAGCAGCACCCAGACTCCCGCATACTTTCTGGGCTGCTGCCACAGCGGCGGCGTCATCAACTGGATGTAAAGGAAACACTTTTGTTATAACTTATAGGCTTCTTTCATGCAAAGGGAAAGAACTTAGGCTGATACGCACAATTGAAGCGTTTCAAGCACAGAAGCTTTCGCTACCAAGAGGTCTCTTTGCGGCGGTGAGTGAAGGGTGTGGTTGGGTCCCCAACATCAAACTTGCCTTATTTGGCTCAGACCAATCATCACCCAGATTTTACCAAAATTCAACATGCCTTATTTGGCTTAAACCAATCAACGCCCAGATTACCAAAATTCAACATGCCTTATTTGACCCAAACCAATCAACGCCCAGATTACCAAAATTCAACATGCCTTATTTGGCTTAAACCAATCATCACCCAGATTACCAAAATTCAACATGCCTTATTTGACCCAAACCAATCAGCGCCCAGATTAGCAAAATTCAACATGCCTTATTTTGCCCGAACCAATCAGCGCCAGCGCCGTAAACTATGAGGCCTATCACCGTATGCATGCACACATTTGTCTGTGATTGATCTTGTATTTAGTGTACTTTTTGTTAAGAAATGACTTACCATCTTTTCCCCACAAAAGAACGTCGTCACACCCGGCTTCTCTGGCTGCAGCCAGCTTCTCGTCCTACAAGATGAGGAGGAAATTTTGCCACATTAAAAAGCTACTGACGAGAACCTTCACTTGAAGCAAACTTGGGTGGGTTATATGTTGTATGTTTTTTGCTCTAGTCCCTCTAAACTAAATAGTAACATACATGTATGTGTAACATAATAACTACCCGAATTAATGCCCAATAAAGGTCATAATGTCCAAAACCGGGACCAGGCCGGGCTATTTGTATTGACGAAAAACAATCCTTTCATATCAAGAATATTGTACAAGAATAGTGCTAGTTATTTACACTTTTTTGTGTTTTGTTGTCTTTCATATCAAAACCGGGACCCGGCCGGGCTACTGTATTTGTATGGACGAAAAATAATAATTTCATATCATGGACATAGTAAAATAGTGCTAGACTTATTATTAAAAAAAACTTTTTTTGTGTTTTGTTGTCTTTCATTTCATACGTTTCGTTTCCAAAAGCTGCCCGGCCGGGACACGGTTTGGATTTGTGATCTCAGCATAGGTCATGATTCCAAACTCAGTGTACAGTGGAGGGCTTGCAATATATTAACACTTTATTTACACCAATCTTCAATGTTTATTCTTTTATTTTGGTTACCTAGTGGTTAAACAAAAATTCATTTGCCCTCAGTTTGCAATATAGCATACTTACGTCCACGTCTGCACTGATGACGCGAACTCCAGCTGGAAGTAGCTGTTTGGCGAACTGGACACCCCACAGGCCGAGCCCCCCAGCGCCCACCAGCAGTACTGCACAGTCCGCTGCAACAACAGATAATCATCAAAGAATGCAAAGCAACCTTTGAAACTCAATGCAAAGGGCGCGTGTGCCTAATATGTACAGGCTGGCAATGTGTTATGTAAGCTCAGTGACACATCGTGACCGATGTCCATAACAACTACTGACGGATGTTTGAAATGTAGTACCCGTGCTAAGCCTATCTGAAGTCTCTCTATATACAAACAGTAGCAGTCGCCGCCTCGCGTTTTTAACATTCTCAGAGTAAGAGTAATGTATTGTGGTGCCAGCAGTGACGGTCGAAGATCTACATCAGGCCTCCTATTAGTATGCACACTCACACTCTCACTGGTGTGTTACGTCGAAGGGCGGTTTTACCGGCCATACAGATACAGAAAAAGATATATGGGCGTAGCAAGAAGTTCACACATAAGACATCTTGTTGTGCAGAAAGATAAGACCCTTATGCAGAATGATAAGACCCATGTGCAGAATGACAAGGCTACTGTGCAGAATGATATAAGACCCGTGTGTAGAATGATAAGACCCATGTGCAGAATGACAAGACCCCTGTGCAGAATGATATAAGACCCATGTGTAGAATGATAAGACCCATGTGCAAAATGACAAGACCACTGTGCAGAATGATATAAGACCCTTAAGCTTGTGTAGAATAATAAGACCCATGTGCAGAATGACAAGGCCACTGTGCAGAATGATATAAGACCCTTGTGTAGAATGATAAGACCACTGTGCGGAATGATATAAGACCCGTGTGTAGAATGATAAGACCCATGTGCAAAATGACAAGACCACTGTGCAGAATGATATAAGACCCTTGTGTAGGTAGAATGATAAGACCCATGTGCAAAACGACAAGACCACTGTGCAGAATGATATAAGACCCTTGTGTAGGTAGAATAAGACCCATGTGCAAAATGACAACACCGCTGTGCAGTGACAAGACCCTTGTGTAGTCAATTAAATAATGATAAGACCCGTGTGCAGAATTATGATAAGACCATTGTGCAGAACTATGATAAGCCTCTTGTACAACTGCGAAGACCGGTACTCTTATGTAGACTATAATAAGACCGAATGTCACCGTTATGCTTGACGAAGTCCTGAACAGTCGGCATGATCGTACACACGGCGTTGTAGGCGGTCAGTCCGGAACAGGGGAGGAGGCACGCCGTATCCATGGAAACCGTGTCAGGCACCTTCACCAACAGTCTGGCGTCAGGGATGGTGACGTAATCCGAGAAACTGTAGAACATTTTGTGTGAAAAACGTTTTGATGCACACTCTGACAACTCTTCTTATTCATGATACTAAACTATGTATGGACTTCCTGCTGATAAGTTGAAGTTTTTAAAAACAAATTATCAACAATAAAATCTGTTCCCACTGTCGCCGCTGTTTATATTTTTCTCTAAGTTTATTATCTATTTATGTAAATTAGTGTAACTTAAACTTGAAATATTTCTATGGAGTGAAATATCATGTATATATGTAAGACATTAACGAAGCTTTTACGTTCAACGTTACCCAAAAGCTTTTTATGATAAATTTCGATGTACAGTATACTTTTGTTGCTATGTGGTATGATATCAAGATTACCTTCTGTTTTGATTTTGATATGCACGTAACATCATATTTTCGTCATAGTTTTGATGTGACACTCAAAGTGTCAGGTTTACACAAGATTACGACGCAGAGTGACCGTTGAATGACTTAATGAATCTTACCCGCCATCTTCGTTTATCCCAGCCCAGTGTTTGACGTTCTTGAGACAGGCAGTAGTTTCTCCCACCTGACACCTGCTGCAGTCCCCACATCCACCGTGCCAGTACACGGCCACACGGTCTCCTACCTACGCAAACAACATAGCGTTTAGAAGCAATTTTAAACTGCAATTTTCAACAGGAGAAATTGGACTCAGCGACCATAGGTTGCAGAAAGTCTGTGGTGCCCCCCGTCATTTATTCGTGATATATTCAAATACTAAAAGCTGGAATTTCACGGAGTAATGTTTAGCTTAGATCATGACGTTTGCGTCCATTTACCTTGAAATCTGTCCCTGAGTCAATGTCGTGCACCGTACCAGCTATCTCATGCCCTGTGAACATATGATATTTTACTCAACAGGCTCTTCACATGTCTCCAATCATGTAGAACGGATTTCAAGAGACTTGGTGATTTAGACAGACTTGAATACATCTTCAAATTATTGATTAATTATAATTATTATTTTTCATATTGTGAACTTACACAATGCAAAAAATAGGTAAATATATAGAAGACTTCTTTCCCTTGCTTTAGTAGGTAGGGTTTATGTTCTACCCTATGCTTTGTGCGTGTGTGTGTGTGCGTGTTTGTGTGTGTGTGTGTGTGTGTGTGTGTGTGTGTGTTAACATAAATCTGTTAACCCACAAGTCTTTCGCCTATAGCTAGCTAACAGTCTATTACCTGGAGGTGGGGGGGGGCATATCATCTAGGTATGGTCAGTCATATATTGACAATAGGATTTTAAGATTGACGACATCAACTTACCGAGAACAGTCTGCATAGGCACGAGCAGGCGGAAGTCTCCGTCCAGACTGTGGAGGTCTGAGTGGCACACTCCGGCATACTCCGTCTGAGAATTATGAATTTGAGGGGCTATGATTATATCATGATAACAACTGAGGAATATACCTTGCCATGAAGTATGTGTAGTTATTATAAACTTCTTGTTTTATTCATCATAATTGTGAATTTCTCGCCGATTTTGTGAAACACAAGCAAACTCACTTAAAACAAAACCTTTGTACCAGTAATAAAAAGATAATAATAGTAATAATAGTAATAATAATAATAGTAATAAAAAAGTAGGAAAATAAAAATATTCAATCCATACCACACATGATAATTTTCAGTTGGTCAGCTAGTAAAAGTACAGTTTGCCACCCCCGAATTGTAGTCTCTTGTGAACCAACGTCTTTGGTATATCTCTCTATGAATGTCTACTCTTTCCAGCCGCCCCCGACGCCTGGCACAGGCCACTCATGAGACTCCCATACACCTCTTCCACGGCTCTTTCATACCGCGCTGCAAAAGGGATATACCTTGAAGGTACGTATGCGGAAAAGAGGAATGGAAGGTATATCCCTTGGCAGCGCGGTGTGGAAGGGCTGTGGAAGAGGTGTATGGATGTGTCGTTGTGGGCCTTCGTACTCGGTGACTTTTTCTGAGGGATTGGCCTATATATAGACTTGACAGGTCCTGCTTCAACGCATCGCATACCATTGACTACGCAGACGGAAGGAGGCCGACGATGATGGACAAGTCTATTGTTCCAAGCTGACTTTTTGGAGAGCCCATCACTTCAAAAAATGCAATTGACTGGCTTGGATGGGCTCCACTAGCTTTATTTCACTCTTTCAGAGGTATGGACATGTTTCCTCATGTTTTACCTTCTTCTCCTGCTACTTCCTGGATTCATCATGTTCATTTCGGGGCTAAATGACCTAAAACTTGGTTTGAAAGAAGAGACGGAAACACTTTTGGAATGGCGAGTGATGTGGACTAAAATATTCTCGCAGCATTTGCTCTTGGGCAAATGTCGGTCTTTCTAGTTGAAAGGATTCCCACCCGACCTTATCTTCTATCGTCTATGTAATTTGGTTCACCAAGCACATTAGTTATCCTTGGATTCACCCTATATGTGCGAACAGACAATGTTACAGTGTTTTTATTGACATGACCATGATATGACGACACTTACATGTTACCGTAGGTATTTGCAGAGCCAAGGACGTCATGTCAAGCGACCTTAGTAGAGCAAACAAGCGGAGCACAGTATTTGGGCAAAGTTCATCACGCCCCCTCCCTTCAACAACAACATGCCAGTAATCACCCAAGAAGCAAAGGTCCCATAGTAAGCCATGTTGGTGTTAGACCCAACTAAAATCTAACTTAACCATACAGTATGTTATTTTTAACAGCCAACGGCCAACCAAAGTCTCCACCTACATATATGTCTTCAATCGTGACGTTCAATTAAACACGTTACGGTAGAGCTCGAGGCATGTACAACACAATAATTGTACCCTGTTAACTTTTACTGGGTCGTTTAACTGACTTCCAACAACCTATGGCCTAATTTATTGATCGCCAGAATATCAACAAATGCCAAAACCGCCAGACAGTTTAACGTATTCACATTTTTAGCCGATCTTGCGTTCAATTACCTTAAGGGAGCCTGTTGTACTACTGACTGAAATTTCTGGAGGTCAAAGACTCGTCGGGCAACATGCCCGTAGCCAGGATTTTAAAGGGGGTGGGGTGGTTCCGACTGACTGGATGGGCGAGTTATTTAGGTTAAAAGGCTGATAGGCTGTGAACACATTCGTACCAAGGACTTTCGAAACATGCAAACCAAGCGCCGTACCTTGTGTCAGTGCCGTTGTTTAGACACTAAAACGTACCTTGACGACAGCTCCGCCCTTGGGTGCAGTGGGCACCTCTTCTTTCGCTAGCTGGAAGGGCTTCCCGTACTCCACCAACCTCATACAACGCCGCGCCATGTTGGGACACGCCTATAAACTAGAAAGGCCGACATTTGCTTGGGAGCAAATGCAGCATATTTCAGTCCATAATAAGATGGTCGGCATATTCCATCGTCGTGATTGTATATGATCTTAGGCACATAAAATTGAATGTGAGGGTCATTGCGTACCACTTACGTGCAACGTGACCCCAGGTAACCCGACGTGTTCGAGCAGTGTTCGATGGCCAACGGCAGATGGTACGGGCCATTATATATATTCTTTAGATCGAACGTGGAACGGGTATAGCACTTTTGGCCCTTTTTTGGCTGAAAATAGCCATTAAAGTCCCCTAAATGAGTCATTTGGAAGTCATGTATGCCAAATATGTGACTGCTATTCTGTAGACACACGTTCAAGGTACGCTTATACCGAATTTCAGATCATTTGCTTGTGATACCAGGGCTCAGGATCCAAAAATCCTTTTTTTGTCGAAAAATGCCCCCAAAAAACTTTTAAAAGCCATGTATCAAAAAAATGAAAAAAAAAAAACGCCTGGGGGTATTGACCCACTCTACCTCCATGCCAAATTTCAGGTCATTTGGCTAAAAAAAGACAGAGTTCAATCTCTTTGACTGTTTGGCAGGAGGAGAAGAAGAAACATGAGAGAACACAATATATTTCATCCATACCATATGGTATGGACTGAAATATAATGACGTCTAACTGACCCCAAAGGTGGCGAACTGTCTCTGACATGGTTCAAACTTGTAAACACTTTGGATCAACAGCCAGGAGAAAGTCAACGTTGCCGATTTAGAATAGCCTACTGAAATATAACATTAATCTAAATAGAATTGACAATAAGCTATTGTAACGTTGAAATCTAAGAGACTCTAAGCTTAGTGTTTAAATGTTTTCATGCTGGTTCTCGCGGTCCATGGTAGTGAAAACAAGACCTTTGTACCCGTCGACTCATGTGATGTTTGTGCATATCGCATCATGCAGTTAGAATGTAGTCCTCGCATGTTGTTTTGTACGGGATCAAACAGGTATTCTCCTAAGTATCAATTTCTACGACCTTATTTTATTTTATTTTATGACGATTTACCACATTTGTGGAAGGATTGACATAACAGGTGACTATCACCTTTTCAAAGATGTCAAACCTGAGACCAGACTGTAATGTTTGAACCACTCACACCGGGAAGGTCCCCTACTCTTGACAAATTGACTTGTTGGTGACAAGCCCAGTATTGTTTCTTTGAACTGGTATTTATGAATCGTGCACATTTACATAGAAAACAGTACTTGTGCTGAGGTCACAATTCCAAACCTAGGCCCCGTGTCAAGCCATATACATGATCCTGCCAAATACATGATTCTGACACTACTCGGGGGTTCCCAATATACCTGAGACAAGGGGTTCAGCCGTGATGTGGGAGACCTAACCTAATATAATAACCTAACCTAACCTAACCAAACCTCACCTCACCTAACCTGACCTCAACTAACCTCACCTAACCTAACCTCACCTCACCTCACTTCACCTAACCTAACCTAACCTAAACAAACCTAACCTCCCCTAACCTCCCCTAACCTCACCTAACCTCACCTAACCTTACCTAACCTCAAATCACCTCACCTAACCTAGCCTAACCTAACCTAACCAAACCTCACCAAACCTCACCTAACCTAACCTAACCTAACCTAACCTAACCTAACCTAACCTAACCTCACCTCACCTCACCTCACCTATCCTATCCTATCCTATCCTATCCTAGGCCTATCCTATCCTATCCTATCCTATCCTATCCTAACCTAACCTAACCTAACCAAACCTCACCTCACCTCAACCTAGCCTAACCTAACCTAACCTCACCTCACCTATCCTATCCTATCCTATCCTATCCTATCCTATCCTATCCTATCCTAGGCCTATCCTATCCTATCCTAACCTAACCTAACCTAACCAAACCTCACCTCACCTCACCTCACCTAAACCTAGCCTAACCTAACCTAACCTAACCTCACCTTAACCTAACCCCAATCGTCTAAACATAGCCCTGAAAAACGATACCAACCCTAATCCTAACTCTAACTCTTAGACCCTAACTCTAACCTTAGCCCTAAACACCTGATCTCTCAGGTATCTGGCGGCAAAATGATTTGGGTCAACACGGACTGGGCAGCTTTTGGGAACGAAAAGTATGGAATAAAAAACAACAAATCACCCTAAAGCGTTTAAACAATAATCACAAGAGATATTTGAGTATGCTCATGATATGAAATTTTTCGTCTAGTTTACAAACTTATAAGGCATTTTAAGATAATTTTCATTCACATAGTCGTTGGCTACAATTTTTTCACAGGGCACTATGTCTTTAATCGAATCTTACTCGCTCCTATTCTGTATGGATTCGAGAACGGTGGATATCATATCTTAGAACTTCACAACTGCACGACCTTTGACCTTTCCAGCTTTCAGCTCTTGAATGACGTCATACACGTTCTCCAAAGGATGATGGGAAATGGGTGGCGGTTTGACCTGCAAACAGATGCAGGTCAGATATCATGTATTGATAGATGCCTATCTCATGATAAGGTTGATAGATTATCATAACAAGATTGATATATATTTTTCTATAAAACTGACATTTCTGCAAATACAACTATTGTCGATTTTTTTTCTCATTTGTACAAACCTAACGTTAAATTTAATATGTTGTGTATTGGGCTAACATTTGATTATCTCTGTGTTATATGAATGACATAACAAATGATAAGATGAACTCGCGGTAACCGGACATGGAAGCAACTCTAAATAAAGCAACATTGTGGCAACAGAGCCGATTAGACGTACGTGACGTAACTCGAACTAAGAGAGCAAGAGTTCCATGGTGATTTTATACCTTCGCAAAACGGTGTTAACATTTTTAACAGAATTATAGAGGAATTTTAAAAGAATTATATGTTTTTCTCATTAATTATGCAAATAAGATCCTCATTTGCATGAATCACATCTCTATCTTCAGTTGATATCATATCAGCTGATCACATTCTACACCCAACGACAGACCCAACGTTTCGGGAGCGGAATTCTGCTTTGTCCCCATATAAGATTGGTAAGGAGGATGCAAACCTTCCCTTGCGCCACCAGTGACATGACGTCCCTCAGCTGTGGCAGTGAGCCTATGGCGACCCCGGTAACGGTGTGACGACCCGCCACAAACGGAAAGAGAGGAACTGTAGCAGGGGCATCGACTCCAAACAAGCCCACCAGAGCGTGTACGCCACCCTGAAATTTATTCCAATCCGGATGAACGAGACGCAATTTACCGTCTTGTGAACGGTCGATGCCATTTGTAACGGTCGATGCCATTTCGCTGAATGGTCGATGCCATATCCGAGCTTCCAAAAACGAATAAAAAGTACTATGTACTTTAAAAATCAATACTAGTATTCTAATTGAAGATATAAGGTGGGTCATGTAGAATTGTAAATATTAGTGAAAAAAAGCGCAAGCTCAGATTCGAACCCGGGTCCAAAAGTGTAGCTCTAAAACCCTAACCTATACCCTAACGTAACCTCTATGCCACAAAACATCACGGTGTGGAAGTTAGCCCTTCATGCAACATGGCATCGACCGTTTCAAATGGCATCGACCGTTTACGAAGGGGACAATGGTTGTTGAAAAGTTGATCTCTCTGTACTCGTTGTATTAGAAAAAACACTCTACGCTGATGTAGGAAAAGTTCAAGCTAATGAAAGTGCTGTTTGTTGTCAGTGGTTATTACCGACCTCGGCCATTATTTTCTGCAAACGTTCAAAAGTTTCAGGCACGTTGACGAAGTCGATGGCGGCCACAGCAGCACCCAGACTCCCGCACACTTTTTGGGTTGCAGCCACAGCGGTGACGTCATCAACTGGATACAATTGCAGGAAATTTAACATCTTAAGTACCAATTAACCGTTTTGAACAAGTAGAATTATTTTAGTAGGAAATTTGGAATTACAACAAGACTGGCAATGAAAACATGCATTACCATGGCGTCGGTGGTTGTTGTTAGGGGTATTGTTTTTATGGCACAGCCATTATTGTATGATTTTGTGGAAGCCGTGGTACCCTCCCCTCCCATGAGTGTATAGTGAACGAGCCTCGGGGTGACAGGTTTCCCAAGGGTTTCCAAGAATGTGAGCATGTCAACAGAGCTGGGAGACATTCCTGTGGACATTCGATGCCTGTGGACAAAATTCCTGTACGATTCCTAGAATTCTCGCAAATTGCACACAATAATGTACCATTAGGCTCCTCCCTGAGACGTTGCCAAAAACAAGTACGCGTCATAATACTCGTTCAGACAATTGGGATTCAGAATTACATGTACATATACCTCCATTACTCCACAGTAAAACGTCGTCACATCCGGCTTCTCTGGCTGCAGCCAGCTTCTCCTCCTACATGGTAAGGAAACACAGCTTTAGACTGTTTAATGATTGTAAAATGTTGATTTTGATGTTTTCTGAACATGCTATGCCTTTGGACAGTCAAAAGTATTGTTTAACCACTAGGAGTGTTTTCTTGATGTTGAGCACTAGATATTGGCTTGTATCTTTTTTAAACTCTGAATGTTTTGTACGTAAGTACATATAACCTACTTTTTAAAAAAAGTAGGTTATATGTACTTACGTTTATGTCGGCACAAATGACACGAACTCCAGCTGGAAGTAGCTGTTTGGCGAACTGGACACCCCACAGGCCGAGCCCCCCAGCGCCCACCAGCAGTACTGCACAGTCGTCTGAAACAGTAATTCATACAGAGGGGCTTTCACACTTTGTGTCAAAATTCTTTGTTCGTATCTGAACCTTATGGGTTAGAAGATAAAACATGAACATGCAAAGGATAATTATCATATAGTCAGAAGACGTTGACCAATCAGAAGGCTCTAATCCCCATGGTATCAGGCCGTAACCTCAAAAGTGGTCGGTTATTGAAATAGTCGACCACTTTTGGGACCGTACCATTCTACAGGGGACAGGACTCGTAGTATTTATCTATTAAAAACGTATTATAGTTTATTTTGAATAATTTATTTTTAAAACCAAAACAATTAAAAATATTAAATTTAATGAAATGTAAACAGACAGAGACTTAACATAAGTTTTGACCCCCTAATAAAAGTGGTACTGCATGTTCCAAAGGCACGTGGTCACCGCAGATGCATTGTCTAGATGATATGTTTTTCTGTCCACGCCATTTTGTTTGATGTAACATGTAATGTGACAGTTTTTTCGGCAAAGGGGGGATGCTATAAAGGAAAATAACTGTCAGTTTGATAGCCTATATGTTAATAATGTTAATGCCCCGCTTTATTCTGAGTGTATATGGTGATATAATCCCTTGGTGGTTTATTCGGTGGTTATCGCACCTGACGAGGAATTATCTCACCATATACACCTCGGGCCGGGACATTAACCCTTAATTATATCCTGCAGGCTGTGTGTAGAGAATTGAAAGTTTTACCACTATATTTAGCGAAGTCTTCAACGGTGGGCACAATTGTGGAGACGGCGTTGTAGGCTGTGAGCGCAGAACAGGGGAGGAGACACGCCGTATCCATGGCAACCGTGGCAGGCACCTTCACCAACAGTCTGGCGTCAGGAATGACGACGTAATCGGAGAACCTAGAGAAAACACGATTGAACTTACTAGAAAGGCGGACAATTGCTTAGAGCAAATGCAGCACATTTCACCCATTCTTTTTACCCCATTCCAAATGTCCCCATTCCCCATGCATTCCACACCACCCTGTATTTGCTTCGAGATGTATAATACCTTTCCATCCTGTATAAAATCCTGTATCTGTTATTCTCAGCTTGATCACATTATCACAGCAGCCAATGAAAGACCTGTTCCATTTAAAATTTTTAAAATCCAACTAAGTTTATGTCATACCTGATATGGGTAGCATAGGGAATCGTGCCTTACCCGCCGTCTTCATTGATGCCAGCCCAGTGTTTGACGTTGTTGAGACATGCGATAGTCTGTCCCACCTCGCACCGCTTACACTCCCCACATCCACCGGTCCAATACACCACCACCCGGTCTCCTACCTACAGGAGGCAGGAAACTCGGAAGTATTTGTCTTTTGGGGTTACGTTAGCCAACATCAACTTGCTGATGATTCTGCTACACTGCAGAATTTGGACAATACACCAGTCCTACGCTTTTCCGAAAGGTTTGTTGGGTTCTTTAAAGTACGTGGGGTATATATGGCTCTCTTAAACACGGGACACACCTTGGGTGCGTGGCTGAGCTGTGGGTTTGTGCGTCTGTTTGTCCGGGCAGAGAGAGTTGATAGAACGTGGGTGGGATTGACAGGCAGCATGACAGGTCAAAAGGTCTGATACAGGCAATGGCTCGAGCAATTGAGGTTCTCAGTCTCTTATACCCAACCACGGCAATATGCACACATAGGTACTTCACTGTGAGCAATCCTACGTTTAATAAGAATAAACATTAATTATTTCAGAAATACGTGTTGCACAAAACCCGAAACAAAAATTTAAAAAAGAGTTTACGGGTCTTTCATACTATAAATTCTACAGCTTTTTACCTTTAGGTCTGCGCTGGGGTCAATGTCGCTAACAGTGCCAGCTATCTCATGGCCTGTGGGCACAGAGAGCAAGACTGGTGACGAATACCAAATTTATTTGCAGAAAATCTCAAGAAACGTAAAGAACTTGTCTATTTTGCAAACTATATGTTGTTAAAACCTGGGCTAACTTTTTTGGGGAACTTACCAAGAATCACTCCAACTATATCAAGAGGGATGAATTTGAGAAGGTCTCCGTCCGCAGCGTGTACATCGGAATGACACACCCCGGCATACTCCGTCTGAAATTAGAAAGAGGGGCATACATGTCACTTCAAACACACACACACACGCGCGCGCGCGCACACACACACACACACACACACACACACACGCACGCACGCACGCACACACACACGCACATAAACACGCACGCGCTCACACAGACACACGCACGCACAATCAAGCGCACACACTAGCACACGCACACAGAGGCACACAAACACACGCACACAAACAAACACGCAAAACACGCACACACACAGAGCACGCAAAACACAAAACGCACATACACACATAAACACAGACACACACAGAAACATGCACGCAGACGCGCACACACACACACACACACACACACACACACACACACACACACACACACACACACACACACACACACACACACACACACACACACACATACATACACACAAACACACACGTTCAAATTGTCTCCAGGTCGACCGAACGTGTCAAAGCATATGCCCAACTATAAAGTGTACAACAACATCGACGTCGACTTTATTGACACAACAAACGTTCATTCGTCCTAAAGGTTATCGTCAGTCTAACAGAAAGTTAATGAACAAACTGCACTGGTCCCTCTACTAAAAATCCTCTGCTGTGCAGACTGTGGACGAAATCTACCCGTCTTTTGTAATGTGTGCTGACGTAATTTTGCAAGTTAACAGTCATATATACTTCCAGGAAAAAGCCATCTAAGAAGATGCATAAAATGTGCGTAGATCTGTGAATACCGGGAAAAATGTTGGATGGAGCTCGAGGTGGGTTGTTTTTTCAGCCGATCTCTCAAACACACTAATCTCCGAGCAGATCTTTTAGTGACCAGAAAGACTCTATCAAATCAGCCAGGCAGTATCCATTTGCTTGACAGTTTACTTACCATTTTGCGACCCAGAAGTGATTAAGCATATGATGTATTGATGCTTCCGTCTTTCTACAGAGCTTAGGTGGCAAAATGGTAACTATTTTGCAAATGGACACAGCCTGGTCAATTTTGATACTGTCTGCCCAGCCACCAAAAGATCTCCTTGGAGATTAAAACACACTGCGTGTTGGATGAATGTTAATGAACAGTACCTTGACGACAGCCCCACCTTTAGGTGCAGTGGGTACCTCTTCCTTAGCAAGCTGGAAGGGCTTCCCGTACTGCACCAACCTCATACTGCGCCGCGCAATGTTGGCAAACTGTTGAGGTTGTTGGGCGACTATCTACACGTTCGAGGGAGCAGAATACAGTATTTCGTCTTCGGGGATTTTTGAGGACACCAAAATAAGAAGTTTTGACGCTTAAGAATTTATAATAGGGTGCATAAGCAAGGTACAAAAGTCGAGTATGTTTGAGTTCAGGGTACAATGTACAAAATATGCAAAAATGAACTCAAGATTGTTCATTTTTGAATCCCTCTTTTATATGACGCTTGGCGGAAGTCATGTGGACTCCAGCCAACGCACAGTGGTGAGGCGGTATAACATGGGCAAATTTAAGCCGACCGCGATCAAATATAAGCCAATTCATACAGCCTTAAAACTGATGCAGTCCTCTCCCATTCAACACAGTTTTCACCTCACTGCCGTGCAAAGTACAATCTCTGCAGCTTTTTCATGTATTGAAACTCACTACTAGTGACTTTATACTCATAGCCGTGGCAATGCTTCGTTTTCGCCCCGTTTTTTTGCTGTCCCGAGCTTCCCTGCAATATAACGTTCGGTAGGCTTTCCGGTTATGATCGGAGCGTTTTCGATCGCGTAAATCGTGACGCTACCGAGCGTTCCCGACGGCCGTACCGGACATTCCTGACTATATACAAGATGGCCGCCCGGTTCGTAGATAGTGAGATTAGGTAGTTTTCGGTCGACCGCGCTGTGGATTTTTTTAGGCCCAACCACGATAGACTGGATACCAGGTTAGCATGGTCACAGGTTCAACAGTGCAGGGTACTGTCCTTACATACCCGTTGGATACTCTAGTTTGGTAGGTGACAAATGAAACAATGGGACAAGTCACTCACATGTCACACGACAGAATGCTCCAGTGCAAGGCATGTTGGAGTCTTGGCCCTCAGGTCAGGGTCAGGTCAGGTCGAACAGAGTGCACTTAGCAGGTTAAACAAAGTGCACTTGGCAGGCCAGGTGAGTTCGCATTATTACCTTCGCAAAGGAGGTTATGTTTGCAGAGGCGTTCGTGTGTGTGTCTGTGTCCGTCTGTAAACACGATAACTCGTCTTCATACTTGGTAGGTGGGTAGGCCTAGAAATTATTAGCTGCTAGTTGTGGTACTGCAGCGGAACTTCCGTTTTTGATATCTCATGATCTGGACGTGCTAGGGTGACGAAATTTGATGGTAGGTAGCTCTTGTGCTGGGGAAGAAGTGACGTAGGTTTGGGCCCCCTATCGGCTTCCTCTAGAACTGCAGGGGCGTTTCTTTAAAAATATTCAAAAGAGGACAACGTACTACTTGTATGCATACTACGCGTATCTCTTTATACTGATTGAATCGAATTTGAACTAAATTTGAGTCAAATTTGGCCTGAACACTGCTCACCTCCTCCCGAATACCAGCACAACTACCAGCCAACCATAGCCGAACCACAGTATATACATTCACAGCGGTATCACTGCATCGTGTTTGCCCCCTTGATCACCTTCTGTCTCCTATTGTAAGCACGGCAGGGTCATGCAAAAAAAGTACACATTTGTGACCTGCATGTCAGTATTGGTGTATTTCTTCAGGCTTACTGTTTTCTTGCTATATTCATTTCAAATGCGGAAGCACGGCGCCATATTTGTTGTGATAACAGGACGTTCTTGTAGAACGTCCTTGAAAATGTCAGAAGGTAAGGTAGAGAAATATTTAAATTCCTAATGAACAGGCACAGCCTGTCAATAACTTATATTCAACGGTTCAACCTCTATTAGTAGCAACGACGTGAAAATGGGGATATGGACGATGTTTAACGTTAACGATCTTGAGGCTACTTATAATTCAGTTTGAATGTTTCTTAGAAAATATAGTGGTCGTTAACAAGATCGTTTGGCTCGACAAAAGGAGGGACACAGCTCCGATGTGCTGTCAACCGGATTCGTGCTCGGGAGACCGGAACCCGCAATGTGTTGTGGGATCGCTATACCTACTATCCTCTCGGACTAATTAAGTAGATTTGTCCACTGATATCTTTGCTTACATTCAGGGCATTTCCCTACGCACACGTCGCTATCATGTCGCTCAGCAAGACCGCTCTCGTCACCGGTGGGACCCGAGGAATCGGCTACGGTATAGCCGAGGAGCTCGCCTCTGTCGGCTACGATCTTGTTCTAGGCTACCGACAGAACCAAGAACGTGCCCAAGACGCCAAAGCACACCTGGAGGGAACGTACAAGGTGCGTGTGTTTCTGGTTGGGGGCGGGGTAGAAGAAGACGCCACAGTAGGCGCCTTGTTCTCCTGTATCGACCAGAACTTCGGCGGCAAGCTGAATGCGCTCGTCCACAACGCCGGTGGGATCTGGGGAGGCCGCACCCCGAGCAAACCTGACGCCAACGGCAGTTGGTTCGCGGGGTGGGAGGCGTACGAATACTACCAGGGTATGTACCTCAAATGTTTCATCAGGCTGGTGGAAAAGGCGGTCACCAGAATGGAGGACGAGCGAGGGTACATCGTCGGCATGTCTTCTCCTGGGTGCAACAGTTCTTCCAGCCCCTTCCTCCCCTACGTCACCGCGGGGATATCTAAAGCAAGTGTGGAGTATCTGGTCCGGCACTACGCCAAGCAGCTTGCGCCCAGGAGGATCACCTGTAACGTCGTCATTCCCGGCTACATCAAAACCGAAGCCTGGGGGCCAATTCTGGAAGAGAGGGGGGATCAAATCGAGGGCCGGGTAAATTCTCTCGGTATGAAGCGGTGGGGATCTCCGCGTGAGGTTGGCGGTGTGGTGGCCTTCCTGTGCTCGGAAAAGGCGGCGTTCGTCACAGGAGTAGCGCTGCCTATCGATGGCGGGATGCACGTCTGAAATATTATCGCGTAGGACTGAGAGTGATACGTTGGACTCTTTGCATCCGATAAAGGTCGTTTCAACTAGGAAGAAAGATCTCTTTAGTTGAGGACACATATTCAAATACTGAAGGGTGTTTTAATACAGGTCACATATTCTTTTTCATTAGCCGGGATACTAACTTTTGCGTTGGGAAAAGAAAAGAGATTTTTCGGTGTTTTAAGTTCGTGGTTAAAACTATATTTTAGCCTTGTAGTGCATTTTTAGTGGTGTCAATTTCTGTACCGTTGGGCACATTTCTCTTCCTGTAATCATTGCAAGGGCATGGACAGAATAGTACACAATTTAATTGTGGCAAGCATGTCACTTTTGGTGCATTTCTTTCTGTAAGCTGGGCAGAAAACAAACAGTTTTAACCTTTTAACCATTGTATTTTGTAAACAGTATTTTGATGTACGTTCCAGGCAATTATGTAAAACCATTCTTATGATGATCAAAACAATAAAGCGTCTGTCAACTTCAAGGTATTGTTTTATGTTTATGTAAGTATTACCAACAGGAAACGTGAGATAGAGGGAGGGAGAAAGAGAGCGAGAGAGAGGGAGAGGGGGAGAGAAAGAAGTGAGGGAGAGTGAGGGCGGAGGGGAGAGAGAAAGAGAGACGGGGAGAGAAAGCTGGAAGAGAGAGAAAGAGAGAGAGATAAGGAGGGGTGGCAGTCAGAAGGGAGCCTCCCGTAAGAGTGTGAACGGCAATGCCTGTGTCCCGTGTGTTTTTTGGCGACGCCTCAGGGGCGGAGCCGTTAGTATAGTACTGCGATCGAGTTGAAAATATTCTAAAAATTCCGTCAATGCATTCCCTAGGGAATTACTTGTTTGAATGACTCTGTGTTTGTACACAGCAAGTAGGGATATCTAAAGTGATGGTTGATCTTTTGCAGAAGTCTTTTGTTTAAAGTTTAATGGCTTAGTTGTCAGTCGATAACTGGATACTTTATAAGTAGGAAAGGCCTATGTTACCATGCATGCAAAAGGCACCTTTTCCGGCCAACTGTGGCTTTTTGCACACAGAATATTAATTGATTGTCTTTATTGATATTTCAAATATGTTCTCTTCTATCAAGAGAGAAGAAATAGAATAAAATAAAACAGAATAATTTTGTTGCTCATAAGAAAGAACAAGGAGCAGCATATTCAAGCTTAAAAGAATAATGTTTTAAGTAAGTTTTTAGTTTCAACCATATGATGCTGGGCTTTTATTTATAACTTAACTGT